CCAACTACAAAACTAGACAAATAGAGACTGCAACCTTTATTTATAAAATAGGCAGAGAACAGAAGGATTTTACTAAAACCGAAGAATTTAAAGAGAAAATAGATTTTCTACACATAATGGAACAAGAAAAACCCAAATAAAGGTCTATTACTACAAAATATCGAGAAGACACGAAAGGTTTTACTAAAAAAGGTCTTATTACATAACCGTAAACCCCGCTTTCAGATGAAGATCTAAGAAAAATATTTGAAGAAGATTTGTAAGTAGCGTAGGTAGTACTAGTCCCGGGATTTAGTGACCGTCATCTCAACATGGATATGCCTTCTGAATCCCGTAAATATATTATTTATTTTATTAAAGTTTTTTTTTTATTAAGAACTATTTTGGGAATTCTTATTTTACATACCTATTCAGCTTTATGCATATATTTTAATGGTCACTAAAGTCATCCCTTTCCCTTGCACTTTTGTAGCTCATCGCGGGTGAAGTGAGAAATAGGTTTCACTTTACTCATTCAATATATAATTTAATATAATGAATGTTTATGGCTTGTTCGAGATTCTACATTAGTTTATTTTTCCATCTGTGTAGAATAAAAGTTGGCTCGCCGTGAACAAATTTGTATAATTAAATCAAGAAATAGGCTTAAAATTACGCAAGCAGCACAAAAATGCGAGGCCGACTTTACGGTTTTTTTACTCCAAATCTAGAAAGTCTATATATGTCACACCTAAGACAAAATATATTTTTGTCTAGAAGTCGTTTTGATTTTATCTTTATTATTTAATCATCTTCATATTTCACAAATTATTATATCATACAAAAATGGCGTATACTGAGATATAATAAGATTCAGTTTCTTAACTTTTATACTACATATGAGCGAACGAACTACAGACAAGGTGATTTCTTATGATTTGTAGTGTAAGAATTTGTTTCACATTGATCATCATTAAAAAGCAATTGTAGTTGTACTCACAAAGACATACCAAGCTACCCATTTCCAGTATAATAAGATCGCGCCTATTGGCCAGTAATGTGGCAAACAGCACCACGCTTGAAAAGCTTATATACTGGAAATGAGTAGTTTGATATTTCCACGTGCGTACTCATGTTATTTTAAACAGTTTAATTTCATTTAATACATCGAAATTCGGTAAAAGTATTCCCAGTAATCCCGGGGCATGTCCATATTAACATTATCATTCAAGTTCATTGACTCAAAATAGCACTACCCACGCCGATCACTATTTATAACACAATGAGATGGAGCTTAGAAAGATCTGGGTGTAACTTTTTAAGACTTATAATAGTGTCGACGATAATACTTAATTAATAGTGCCACTCACTATGCTAAAGTGCATAGTTTAATTAGATTTTTAAATTAATTAAACATTTCTTTTTTTTAACTTAATGCGTAATTTTATGTATGGCTTTGTAAACTAAAATCCAACAAAACAATCAAAAATATAACAAATTTTGTTTATTTACGAGCACCAATTACAAGTAGAAGTCAGATTAAAGTGACAATCATTATACTGTTTACCCTATATCTGTCCTCAATATTGTAATTACATGATCGTTTCCAATTCGAGCCGATATGTTGGTATGCTAAAGTGCATAGTTTAATTAGATTTTTAAATTAATTAAACATTTCTTTTTTTTACTTAATGCGTCATTTAATGTATGGCTTTGTAAACTAAAATCCAACAAAACAATCAAAAATATAACAAATTTTGTTTATTTACGAGCACCACTTACAAGTAGAAGTTAGATTAAAGTGACAATCATTATACTGTTTACCCTATATCTGTCCTCAATATTGTAATTACATGACCGTTTCCAATTCGAGCCGATATGTTAGTATGCTAAAGTGCATAGTTTAATTAGATTTTTAAATTAATTAAACATTTCTTTTTTTACTTAATGCGTAATTTTATGTATGGCTTTGTAAACTAAAATCCAACAAAACAATCAAAAATATAACAAATTTTGTTTATTTACGAGCACCAATTACAAGTAGAAGTCAGATTAAAGTGACAATCATTATACTGTTTACCCTATATCTGTCCTCAATATTGTAACTACATGATCGTTTCCAATTCGAGCCGATATATTGGTGTAACAGCGTAATACAGATGCAGCCAGGTTCTAAACAGTAAAAGTTGCAAATTCAAATTATATGATGTAATGTTTTATTAATACATATAATAAAGTCCAGTCGCGGAGCAGGAAGAATTTCGTACAATGACCTCTTTGCCTACTGACAGTGTCCACAAACATTTTTGTGTTAAGTGTAATTTTTATGAAATATTTGAAGGAAAAAAATTAATTTATTATCGTATTAAATAAATTATTGGTATTATATAAATTATTTATTTTGATTTTAGTATAAAAACAGTTGATTAAAACTACTTTTACGGATTTTATAGATATATCGAAAATCCGATATTTTAAAAAATATCAACAGTCGTAGTTTAAGCTGATCAGTTGGAATGATCAGTTGAACTGACCGTGTGTGTCGTCCATTACAATTACTAATTTGGCAGAAATAAAAAAATGAAAATTCAAAAATCAGAATCCGATTTCTCTGTATCAGAGTTACTACTTTCCGATGACGTTCCGCCTGTCACATTTATTACAAAAGACTCAACAGTTTTGTCTACATTAAACTTAACAAAACCACTTAACAATTAAAACAAGATAACTAAAATTAAGCAAAAAACAACAAACTAAGAGTAGATAACAGAGACAACTGTGTCGGAAAACTGAGCGATCACTAACGCATCCCAAAATGGAATGTCGTTTGTTCGTTATTTAAAAATTAATAATTGTCAAGCAAACCAAGGATTTTTGTTCGTCCCTCAAGGCCAACCAAATACCACGTGCAAACAAACCTTACAGTCTCAGGTAAAACGTTTACATTAGGATTCAACTCAGAAAAAAAGAATTGTCAGATTCTTTCACCTGGAGCGGTATTCGATGATATTTAGTTTGTCTGCATCTACAAATTTTGCAGCAATCGTTTTCAATGTATGAAAAGACTAAGGATTATCTTATTTTATTAATGAAATACATATTTATCTTATTAACGAATTATAATTTTATATGTATGTACGAGTATGGATTGTTTTTGCGTAACTACATCGAATCGATCGTGCTAAAATTTTTGTATACTGATAATTGTGGCTCTATATTCATCAAGATAAACTAATACAAAACAATGAGTCATAAGATGTTTTATCTCAACTTTTCTCCGTACACTTTACGTTCCGACGGTACCTACTTGATAATATTTTGTGACAATCGAGCTCACGCTAAAACAAGGTGCATGTGTACCATAACACAAGAGCAAAGACCAACGTGGCATCGTGAGATAGAATACTGTTTTAAAGTAAATTATAGACACCCGATAGTGAAAACCACACGATAATTTCATAAAACCAAAAACTAAGTATAAAATATTATTATTTTTGACTTTCACGCTATTTATGCATCATTACGTAAATTAGCTCAGTCATATTAATACTTCTTTTACTAAATATTCGTTTTTCTCCAAACTTTTTCAATGAAAGCAAGATTTCTTCAAAATATTTTACAAACTTGTAATTTAATGATGTACGAGTATAATTCGAGAGTTGGGACCTAGTGACCTACAGAACAGGCATTATCAAATACCTTTATTAAAGTACCAGTCTCACACAAACTTGTGTTCATTACGTTTATAGTTCGTCATCATAAATTCTGTGCGTTTGTGATGAGAAAATAAATATATTCTATTTGGATAGTAGTGTATAATAATTATTCCTTACTTCAATCATATCTCCGTGCAATGATCTATGAGTAAAAAGGTCAACCGAGGTGTTTCCACAAGCTTAGATTTTTGAGTACGTAAAACTACATCATCACCACCCTTCACAAGTCCACTGCAGAACATAGGCATCGTCCAAGAAACGCCACAAGCACGGACTTAAGCCAAATTCATTTTATTTAAAAAGAAATTTTGTACAACCTGAATAAGTCGAGCAGCCGACTGGTGTTAATGTATTAACGCATCGCGTGAGTTCTAAGAACCGGTAACAAAGTCAGATAAGCAACCCGAATACCATTTCTCATAATAGAATATCACTATTTGACGGTAACAATAACTCTGTGGTTCCCGGCAATCTTGCAATAGCGAGATCAATTTTAACAAGACACAACGACAGTGTCGCGATAAACCATTGAGTTCAGCGCCATTTTTATATTATAAAACTGTACTGCATATTAAATTAAAGATAATAGGCAAAAACTATTAAAAACTACTAAATAATTCCATTCCAGCAGTGGCTTTCTATTAACGATATATATTACAGATTGCCTTTGCTGTTTACTTTTAAACTATCCACATTATTAGGTACATTAGTTCAATTAATAAATAAAAACTTTTCAAGAATAGTAGTGAGCCAATATTTTTTAATCCACACCACCTCATTAATTGAAATAATATTTTTATTAAATTATTCCTAGAAATATTTTATTATTAACATTAGTATAAATCCTTTCTATAAAATTATAAATTTATTGAGACTATCAAAAAATCAAAGGTATTTTTTATGTTAATCCAGATAAACCTAGGATAAACTAAAAAAGAATATTATTAATTTATTCAAATGGTGTTACACTATTTGGCCTCAATAGTACTACTCTTTAAATGGTTTATATTCAGTTGAACTAGTGGGAGTTAGCCTCAATATAATACGTAATGCGTTGTTGACAACTGCCGACAGGAAAACGGAAGTTCTTCCGGTAGAATTTAAATGACGGTAATATGCGAATTTGATAATACTAAACAGGTTTCTCATTTTTATGCAATCCGACCACTGAATAAAACTACACCAGCTAAGCTTTGACTTATTGAAAAATAATCTCACGACTTCGAATTGCACAACATGGTAGCAAACGCAATAGTGACTAAACGAGTAGCCCACGTCAACTGACTGACGAGGAAAGCAACTCACCATACATAAAGACGTCATAAGCCGTTTGAAATTTCCTGATGTGTCACCGCGCAGATCATCCTCGAGCAGCGTTCCGTAAACTGTAATAACAATAGAACTGAATCAATATACAAACAAATATTCTTATGCAGGTTCACTCCGACTTAGCACCTATGGAGCTTTTTTTTAATAAAATAAGAATGACAAACAGAGACACAATCCACATGATGGTAAGTGGATTGCTCTGGCTGGACATCTACGTAATATATCTTCGATTAGGAATCAAAATGCCGATGCGTTGCCACCCCTGAGGACTAAAATGGAATGCCTCGTTTAGAGTAAAAAGCAGCAGTATTGAGCTGCTATTTTACGCTGGTACTCTCCCATTCCAATCAATCCGACTCATTCTACTTACAACTATAATATAACTGCAGCATGGCTCTACCACGTAAGATAGATCTAAAGTTATGGTTAAAACTTTTCTTAAAATTTCAGTTACCAATGGCCCATTATTTTATTTTTATACATTATTATTTAATTAGTTCAGTATATTAAGGCTTTAAAAAATATAAGACGGTATGTTATTTCCGGTCCGAGGAACTTTATTTTTAATAATAATTTCCTTACATCTAAAAATGAATATGCAACCTGAGATGTGTGACGTTTAGTATACAGGACGCATACCTCAACTTATTCTCAATAACCACAATAACACTGTGCGGTTAGCAACTTCACGTTATCGGTGCCGAAGTATATGGGAATCCGTATTTGTATATCAAAACGGTGGATGTTGTAAGAAGTTTAAAGATTTTTATTTTTGTAATGAATTTAAAATATTCACAAAAGATGAAATTATAATTAATTATTTATTTAGTCACTGACAATACAAAGATAAAGCCATTTAAAAAATATATTTAAAAATAAAGTTCTTTGAAATTAACTTGTGACGTCGATAACTAAATGTAACTCATGGTTGAGTAGACCAACAAATGACTACACATATCTGCACAAAATTGCATTATTTAGTAGATAATTATTCGATAATTACAAGTAAACACTATAAATCGTTTGCCGTTATCTTAGAATAACTACCTACTTATTTTAATTAAAACTATTTTATTTTCATTGTGTCCCAAATAAATTCCCAAACTGCTACCTAGAAAATTATACTCAAATTCAAAGATATAAACCATTTTTTATTCTATATTGCTATTAAAATAAAATTTAAAAGCACAAACACGATCACAATCAACTGAGTGACAGCTAAATAAAGATCATGAAACTATTGCCTACTCGAGCATGAGAACACGAGATTGTAACAATGCCATTACTTAAAACAAGTGTACTTGGGATAGGGAAATGATTCATTACTTCAAGGTTGACTCACGTAAGACACGATTTTTTGTGTGAGAATATTAAGATTATGTATCATAATAATGTTAAAGATATGGGTTAATAGTAGTGTTACGAGCTTCGATCAATTAGTATAACTACACGCAAATAGCGCGATCATAAAAAAAATTAATTAATGCCGCGCTGTTTTCATATACGGATCTAGACGGGAAAGACCAACAGGTCGGATTATACCTGTATGATAACGATCATCACTTAGTATTCCCTGTTTCCTCCTCCAAAACTGATTTAATGTTTGGTTCAAGTATTGGTGGACAATTTCTAAATTTGTAGTGGTATCGGTAGTATAAATATAGTAAAAAGATATAGAGAAATATAGAGTAAAACAGTAAAGTTACAGCCTCATAATATACGCACCACTCCACTCACAGACTTCTCATTTTTGAGACGGTTTCTCAATCTGCTCTAAATTGTTAGATAAACAGCGTCCATACTTTAAACATAAGAAGGTCAAAACTCACTGGCTGTGTACGCCTGCTTGATGACATGAATCTCGTGGTTGGACATAGTGCACATAACTTCGATGAGGACATCTTCGTCGGTGCCGATGCCGGAAATTGCATCATGCAGCTCTTTGGCGTAGAACTGAGGTAGTGGTGTCATAAGCGCCACTACTAGGTCTTCGAATTTGCCGCTGGTTTCGCTCTTCAAGTCTGACACTAAATCCTTAAAATAACAATAAATTTTATTCGTTTGATTTGGAATGTTGTCGTCAGTGGTTAACATCCATCTAAACATGGAATAAAACTAATTTTGCAGATTTTATCGCGTTTCATTTCAACTTTTTTATTCCCAACGTTTCGGGCACTTCACAGCACCCATGGTCAAGGAGCGACTAAGGTGTTTGACGCCCTAATGTCATAGTTAAAGGCTACCTATTGAAGGTAAAATCCGTAAGATTAGTTTTATTCCATGTGTAGTATTCGCATAAATATAAGAAATCATTATCTGAACCATTTACATATCTAAAATATTTAATTTCAACAAGTCACAGATATATACTAAGTTGTTTGTTTATGATATTTTACTTTAAATGTAAAAATATATATCTAAGTCGTAATCATAGATATAATGTTTTTAATATTTCTATGGTCGTAATAGACCTGGGCTCAGGGCTTAGCGCTTACTGTAAATTTCACGGTACCCGAGGAACTCGTGTTTGATCCACAAATTATTAACTGCAATTTAAATGCTGATTTAACGTGTGCTCGGCGGTGAAGAAAAACATGTCTGAGTGATAAAATATTTCGAAGACATGTGAAAACAACTATTTCTGTAATAAAACAATGAAAGTTGATATATAGCCATTTGATTAAAAATTTAATATGACGTGTTACCGCGCTTTTCGAAAATCACTATAAGAGTGGTAAAAAAGAGAATGTATGCATGAAAATCTGTCATTATATGAAGGTAAATTTAGTGGTAGTAGTTTTAACATGGTAGAGCCACCCTGCAGCTATATTATGGTTGTAGCACGAATGGGTCGGTTCTATCGGGATGGGACCACGCTCTCACAGCATACCAGCACAAAATAGCAATTTAATGCTGTTGTGTTTCGTGTGTTGTGTTGAGTACCGGAGACTATTTTTTCTGGAAACGATGCATTATCTTTATCTTTTCTTCTATATCTTATTATTATTATCTTAGCCCTCAGGTGGCAACACGTTTGCATTTTGGTTCTTAATGAAGGATAAATTTAGATGTCTATGGGCCACGGCATCCACTTAACATCAGGAGGACTGTGTGCTCGTTTGTCACCCTTATTTTTATTATTACTTAAACCCTCGGGTAGTACAATAAAATAAACCCAGACAAGCGCGAATAACACTCGCGACCTAAGGCTTTTGTATAAACTTAACTACCTATAATATATAACTTAATATGTAATTTATAGCACCGAACATTGCCCTAACAAAAAGATAAGTCATATTGAAAAACATGCTTAGCTTTGCAATAGAAAACAATGTTCTCCCTTATTGGAGTGGAGCTCCCATGGCGCAAGAAAACGGTAATTTGAAATCTATCTACTCCACAACCCGTAGATTTTTGTAATAATTATTGAGAAAATAATTAATTTAAACAATTGTAATGTGATTGATTATTTTGTTGAAATAAACATAGTTATGATTTTTAGACTTTTACTCCGCTCCTTTTATGATGTTAGCAAAAGGTTTTAGGTACTTTTGCATCTGCATCGCCCCTAGTATCATATTAACTACTAATCTAGCTGTCTCACTAGTGTCAAGGCAGCTAGATTAGTTTATTTCAGTTATATTCATAGTATGTCTTATGGGATTTTGATATGGGAATAAGCGGACGATTTAGAAACAATTTTTGTTTTGCATAAGAGGGCCATAAGTGCTATTTACAACCTAAAACTATGAGGTCTAAGAGAAATATTTAAATGAATAAGTTATTAACTTTGACCTCTTAGGATATTTAGGAACCTTAATGTACGTTCACAAAAACAAAAGTAGTTTTAACTTTTAATAAGTGATATATATACATTCTGAAACACCAGTAAAAAAACACAAGCTAATGATACCAGTTTCTCGACTCCACTGGGTCAATAATTCATTCATGGTCATTGGGCAATTTTACGCTATTACAACATCGTCCAAGACAATATACAAGGTATTACCAAGTTTAAATATGTTATCGAACAAAAACTGTACAAAATGGGTTATTATAATATAAATGAATACCTACATGTTGGATAATAATCCTTGGAAATGAGGTGGTTGCTTCCAAGCTGAAGCTTTTACAAAATGTGTTTTATTGCATAATATACTCAGAAAAAAGTGCCACTGTCGGCTCATCGCTGGTTTTTCCCAGGACAGGTTTTTCCCGAGTTTTTGGTAAAATAAAGAAATGACTTACAACTTTCTATATAATTGTAATCTAATCTATATTTTTTTTAAAAATTCTATACTCGTACCTCTCTACCCGTTTCTGAGAAGGGGTCCTAAACTCACTGGCGTACAGGCGGACTGACGGAGAGAATAAAGTGAATCAATCTATTGGGGTTCTGTTATTGCATTTAAGTTATAGAACCCTGAAAACGTGTTTCCAATATTTTGAAAAATTCTATTTTGTGGGTGGGTAAAATAGGGTAATAGGTAGGGTTGCCCGATGGTCGGGATTCGTCTGGATTGTCCCAACATTTCATATGATCTCCAGACTCCCGACAAAACTCAAAATTTCCAGACAAATAGCTTCTCGGAGAGTTAACGTATTGGACTTTAATTTAATAAAAGCTGAAGTTAGTAATTAGACTGAACTTTGAATTAAATTGTTTTAATTTTAAATCTTTTCTGAATACTACTAAAGGATCCAAATTGGATGACAAATATGTACATATGACAACCTAAAAATGAAGTGTACCTTAATTAGTTATGCTTAAAGTAGTAAAAAATAAACTCCCGACATTTGCAAAATTTGTCCAAATATTTTGGTCTTCCGATCGGGCAAACCTATAAGGCCATGAAAATGCGTATGTAAATTCAGTAATTCTGTGAGTTAAGACCATAACTTTACCCATTATTTAAAGTTATCTTTAAATACCCAGATCACAGAAAATATATCGATATCGAACAAGTCGTCTAATTAAAAAAAAATAATAAAATTTGTTATGCAATCAGATGAAATTGACCAGTAAACCCGTAGTCTTCACACTACAGAAAACTTATAAATCCCCTACGCCAGCTGCGGATCTCGTCTAAGGCTCCGCCGCCAACCAAGATTCGGCTGCGGAGGATAGGGAGAGCGGCGCCTCGCAATACCAACACTCCTCTCCCCCTCGCAGCCCCACCACCACCGCATCAACTGTGCGCCCCCGTTTGAATCGCGGAGAATAGGGCGAGTGGCGCATCGCCATACCAACAAACCTCTTCCTCCGCAACTGCACCTCGGCTGCAGCGGTAGGGAGAGAGGACACCCCTCTCACCACAGCCCACCAGTACACATCCAAAGTGGGCTCGTCAAGCCCACTCGGAGTGGCCTCCTCGGGCCGGCCCTTCACCTCGGGCTAGCCATGTGGATTCCTCTTTGTTCACCGCGGGTGACCAAGCCCCGGCCACTAAGCCCCCCCCGCCACGACAAGGCGGTTCCCCGTTACCGCCTTGTCATGGGGGTGGGGGAGCATATAACTGTCCTAGAAGCCACAGTAATCACTAGATGTGGTCGCGGCGAAATAGTTATTCCTTTAATCTCATTAGACTATCCGTTCGAGTTTATAAGCATACAATTCCTACCAATGTGGGTTTTTCCATAATTTCTTACGTTTTATATAATGTAAACAGACTGAGCACAACGTTACCAAAGTTTTCGAATAATTATTGTATAGGCCGTGTATATAAATCTTTCAACCTTTGATCTATATAAAACATAGTAATGCAAACACCTACTTTCTTTATTGCGATTAAGAACATTGATATGGAACGCGAAGTAATCGGCCGTAATCTATACATATAATAAATCTGTAGAAAAGTCGTGTCTGTAATTCTATTTCCTGGAAAAAACAAGTCCATGGGACCAAATAAAGGATACTGAAGCCAAATTACTGGTTTTAGAATTTTTGTCTGTCTGTCTGTCTGTGTATTAGAGATTCACGCAAAAACTACTCGACAGATCTCCATGAAATTTTGTACGCAGACAGTTAGTGAACCGGAGCTACTTATAGGCTACTTTTTATACGATTACGGAACTTAAAAAAGGAGTGTTAAATATTTTCCTTTCTTTAGAAGTTTATTTTCTATTATGTATTATGTATGATTCTGTTAGTTATAAGCGGGATAACGGAGTGTTTTTTTAAACGAATACAATATTTATAATTAAAGTTTAAATTTGTTTTAACTGTTATAATTTGAAACCACGCCAACGATATAAATTGTACGTTCCGAAACAGCACCATCTGTCATAAAAAGTAAAAAGTAGTATATTTAGCCTTCAGTTATCACTTTATCAGTTACTTACTAATAAATTAAATAACATAAATAACTTACATCTATATGTTTAAATAATTATATTTATTATATGATTTGAAACTTCTAAGATTTATTTTAAGTTTTTTTATTCTTTCATTTTAATAGTAATAATTTAAATAGATAATAGTGAAATCTATGAAAATTCAGATGGTTTTTAGTTTTATTACTAATATATAATAATGAACTGGTTAACATTGGTTTGCCTGCGATTATTGCAAAACTGTCATTACACTTATACTTTATTTAAAGATATTTTTGTATACTTCGGGGCCAGATCGTAGAATTGATTTTATCATGAATATTCTATCATTACATGAAATTGCGGCATTTCGTGAAATTTAACACTGTCTGTAATAGGCTTGACCAAATCGATGAATAAACATTGTTTGAAGAAATTAGCAACTAAACCCAACATTGCTTTTTCATAATATTCTAATTATATCGTAAAATAGATCCACTGTTCACCGCTAGCGGCGCTGATTACGCATTTTTTAACAGAAACAGAATTTTTAACAGAATCTACATAACTCTGTGTCTCATCACGAACATTTAAATAATATATATAAATGTTCGCGGCTTTGAGGTAGCCCAAGGATCACCCCAGCCGCATATCAATCTACTGTCGCTGATGTTACTAGATGGTGCTTTCGTGTTGTCGATGTTAGAACGAGAATTGGCTTC